CTCCCACGCCCGGGCACAGCACAACACACCTGGCTGTATAGTGGGGAATGGCCGGGGGTAAAGTCTTGCCTTCATCATACCCGAAAGTTCCCGCCAACGCCCAGCCTTCACTGCTCACTTCCTATCCTGCCCATTGCCAATATAGTTTTGTGTGCTAGATTAAAATAAACGAAAATTTTACAATTAATGGTACAAAAAACATGTTGTGAGTGTAACATATAAGACATAATAATAAAATATCCCTGAACTTAGCAGTTATATGAATGTGTCCTGTTTGGCCGTAAGTATGTGTATGGCCAACAGAAGCTTCTGGAGGCACCTGAGTACTGAAGTGCTCTTTCAGCCCTACACTATGTGCCTCTTTAGTGTGTGCACCTCCCACGCTTCTAAAATAACTGGAAGTTACCCCGTAGAAAGGACTCTTTGACCCACAGATAGACCCCCCCCCCCCGTTCTGGGAAAGTCTCCGTGTTGTAGAACTAAAACGAAAGTTGTAGGAAGGGAGACCAGAGTGGCTGTAGAGTGAGTGACGTAACTTAGTCAACTTTCACACTTTTCACAGCTCCCGCACAGAAGGAATTCCCATAAACATATCAAATACTGTTGTTGTAAAGGACTGCAACAAAGCACTATAAAAGAACTGGTAAATATGGCCAACACCCGGGCCACCTTCACAAATGTGAGGCGGTAGCCATGTAATGTCTACTGCCTGTTATCCCCTTTCAAAGGTTTGTTCAGATTTATCACTTAATTGCTGTTAGCTACGACCTGGCCTTGGTTTTTGCGGACAGACAGACAGACAGACACGCTCACTGACCGATTGCTAGAACCTCTCTCCTCTCATAGAAGCGAAGGTGAATATGTGGGAAGTTTCATAGTCGAGAAGTGTGAGGAATGAAATACCCTGTAGGTAAATGCTGATGAAATTTGATCAACGGAAACGTGGACGAGGTACAACTGATATGGTTGGAAATGAAATGTGTTGCGACTGGAATTGAAAAGAAAGTGGAGTAATATATTGTAATCCGCTGGTGTTATAACTATCAATAACGTTAGAAAGTAAAGAGAGGAGGTAAAGAATGGACTGGTGATTGATGGCGCTAACAGCTGTTGACTGTACTTTATTTAACAATAACAAAGTGGACTGCGTTGGCAATATTAGTACACAATGAGGGCAGACACGTCTGTTGGGTATAATTTTACAGAGAGGTAAAGTAAGGTCTAGTGTTTTGTTTGTATCTTTGAAATGTTCGAAATGTGGTGGTTCTTAGGAAAGAATACTAGTTAATATAACTGGTATAATATAGCTGGTATAATTAATTACCATCTTTGTCACCTGTCAGCGTACTAGACGTTCGGGGTATCGATCTGTTCTTTGTTACGCACTGGTGACAGGTACTGGGCAGGTTCGGGCCATATGAATATACTGTAACCGAACATGTACCAGTGTTGGTCAGGAAGGGTTTATATTTAGGTGGCGATGAATAGGACGAGGTTATCTGTCCCCCAGTGTGTTACAGCCTCAAGATTTATGTGATCTGTTGAGAGGCTTGGCAGGGTGTGGCTGTGGGCATCCGAGCTGTAGGATAACAGCCTTGTTGGTTAGTATCATAAGCAAAGAAGTGTGCGTCGCTACAAGGAATGATGAGCATATCATCAACATAGAGTACGAAGACAGTAGAAGGAAGGAGTGATGCTTGAGGTACTCCAGCGTCGAGAGGAATGTGAACTATCGATTACTGCACGATGTAGCAGTTGGAGATACAGAAAGAAATCCAAGAAAATAAAGAATGGGGAAGACAGAGAAGATTTTGACAAAAAATCTGATGCTAAACCTTGCCGAAAGCTTTAAAAATAACATCCTATTGTCATCATTAGCGTCATGCGGGTGTCTGGCACCAGGAGGCGCGTCATAAATGAAAAACTTATCCACTCGTCTTTTACACTCACGCACCCTTAACTTCTGACTTCACCTACCATGGCACTGTTTCTCTCCACATAGCATCCTCGGCTACCATGGTCCTATATCCCTCCACATGGCAACCTCACCTACCATGGCACTGTTTCTCTCCACACGGCAACCTCACCTACCATGGCACTGTTTCTCCACATGGCAACCTCACCTACCATGGCACTGTTTCTCTCCACACGGCAACCTCACCTACCATGGCACTGTTTCTCTCCACATGGCAACCTCACCTACCATGGCACTGTTTCTCTCCACACGGCAACCTCACCTACCATGGCACTGTTTCTCCACATGGCAACCTCACCTACCATGGCACTGTTTCTCTCCACATGACAACCTTACCTATCATGGTACCGTATCTCTCCACATGACAACCTCACCTACCATGGCACTGTATCTCCACATGACAACCTTACCCATCATGGTACTACCTATCACCACATTGTGATGGACTGATGGTGGTCTGGCCGGATAAGTAACAGTGGCACAGTGTAGAGTAGCATTTAAATCTAATTGAAAGGGATTATGTGGTGAGTGACGGTATATTTGATGTCAAGCATAATAAAATATAATGGCTTTTATGGGAACAGCTAAATTCCAGGTGAAATAATTATTTTGGCGCCCCCCCTGCCATTCATTACCCCACTGGTTATCATCTATATTCTTACATATTTCCCGAGGGAGAAAAAACCGACAGGCTTTTTCAACTTAACTTAAAAATTTCGGCAAGGTATTAAGAGTCACCACGCAAAGTTCACCATTTATAATATCAATAAACAAATGAGCGTTACTATACTGCCAGATTCTGGGGTCACTAATTCTAAGGGGAATAACTTAACTATAGTCTTAATTTTAAAGGTTGCTGCCACCAGACCCCCTCTGGGCAGTATGTAGCTCGTTTTTCATTGACCAAATCGATAAGGGGAAGAAGGGTGAAACAATAACATACATGTCTTAACTAATTTATTCCTTTTAAAACATACTGGATTCCGTCAAAATACCAGAAGAGTTGGCCTTCCTCAGAAGAACAACAATGATTTTAGTTACACTGCTCAACAACAGACGTCTTACATTAATTGCGTGTCATCCACATACTTATTGCGCATATCAATCAGTGACCTCCTTACCTCGGTCATTCCTTCTTACAATAACACTCGACACATCAGACTGCTCCACCTGTGTGAGTATAACATCACCTGTTACATTACAAAAAGAGTTGGCTTTCATCAGAAGAACAACTATTATTTTCATTACACTTCTCTTGGTGAGCAGATGGGATACTTCCCAGGTAATCATACCAGTACTGGTTCCACGCCTGGTATTATAGGTCGCTCCACGTAGCGACAGCGAAACTTCTCAAGTATACAGTGATTTTTCTCCTATCCTGGGTGGTGATATGTAGGGTATCTACAGATTCACAGTGGAGGTGCAGGACCACTGTGAACAGACGCTCCTCCACATGATGTGGCCTTCACAGTGTGGTCATGGCTAACGCCCGGGAGGCGCTCAGAACGCGTCCTGTGTTGGGAGAAGTCGAGGCATCACTAAGGGTAATGCCTGAGGGGCTTTCGTCACCACACACTAGTACACAATGACTTCACTTTATAACATCAGGCAACGTTTTAAGATGTAAAAGCTGCTAGATAAGTCTTTTTAGGGCTGAATAAAGCATGATGAAGGACACTGACCTGTGTTGGGAGAAGTCGAGGCATCACTAAGGGTGATGTCCCGACTCCCGACTCTGTTTAAGCCTACAGTTTCCAATCTTTAATTTTCACTTTGAATTCTTATGTTTCTCACATCTCCATTTTCCTATCTATTGTGACACTAAGGTGAGGTTCTGGTTTGCTAGTTCCTTGGTAAATTCATTGAGTTATAATATCAACGCGGCACGCCCGAGGCGGCCTAGACTCCAACTCAAGCAAAACCTAGCGTCTTATTTTCACGGCGTAGGTATGCAAAATATTCTCTTTGAAGCATAGTTTCTGGGTCACTTCCAACACTTCATATAGGTCTGATACATTTATTCTTTTTCCAGATCATTGTTCTCTTATATTTTTATCCGATACCTGCAGTAGTTATGTTCACTAATCGTTCACAGACGTAAATAGTATGACCTTCAAACTACGATCTACACTTAGCCCGGATAGTATACTAGTCCGTATCAATTGGACCTTCCCAACCATCCTATAGATACCTTGAGTTCTCCTTAATGCTATGAGTACATACAATTACTATTATATAACCGTACCTGGGTACAATTCAACAAATGATTCAGTAACATTGAGTAGGTGAGTAATTCCTTATCAATGTTTCCCGTTTTCTGAGATTCTACAAGCGCGGTGGATTTGAATGTTATGTAGTGTAATATAAATTAAAGGGGTTTTTTAGGAATGACAATGATGTGCGCAGTACATTACACTGTACTGAAAAAAAAATATTTCTCGGTACTATACGTCAACGCTGTTCTTGCCAAGTCTATCATTATCCAGTGAAAATTGTAAAGACTTGCAAGAAATAGAAACACAGGGTTAAGATTAAGTCATTATCTCAAAACATCTTCAGGGCTTATATTGTAAGCTTAAGGCTCTGGTTCTTGTCAGTCTGTACAATATTAATATTTACGTGTATATTGTGTATCAAGATTTTATAGATACAGTACATACATATAATGTTACAGTCAGTATGTCAAATATCTGAGAAAATGTTCCGTTTCATGCTGTGTATGTTGTGTAATAGGTTAGGTTATTCAGAAGAGAACTGCAAAAACTTCACGCTGAACCTATTCCAACTTAATGTAACCCGACCTAACGTAACCTAACTTATACACAACATACAATATACACAGCATGAAGCGAAACACTTTCAGATATTTTACAGTGATTGTAACAATTGTAACATATTATATACAGTAATTATATACTGTATGTACATTATGTCGCCAAGCAGTCCGTTGCATTTGATAAGGTTTACCATAATGAACGCAATAAACAAAAGTGGTTTTTCAATAACCAGTTCACGTATTACTCACCAATAACCACACCAAACTTCATCTTCTCTTCTCGGTTCCTCACGACGTAGTGACCTCTTGTACGGACCTCCTCCCTCTTTATAACCCGCCAACCCTACCAGCCCTCTCAACCGTGTTACCAACTAGGCAGTGTTGTGTTTTACCTATCTATAGTTTTCAAACCATGAGGTAAATTTTGACGTAATTCATATGATGAACTGTAAATATATGTAGCTTTCAATTAATGTACTGGTAAAAGGCTCATCAATCTTAATTCGTCATAATACAATGAAATGCTTATCACATTTGTAAGCATAACTCTATTTTATTTTATTTTGTTTAGATTTTACTGTCATATGATTAGCAATCCTAAGCTCGCACAATGATGTAGAAGCTTTATATGTCTTTTGTTGGATTATCCTTGGTTGACTTAATGTCCCACTATGTCGTCCATGTAGTTTGTATACCTGTACTGTACTGTATGTTCGTTGTATACCTACACTGTCTAGGTACAATGTATACCTACACTGTCTAGGTACTGTACATTGTTTGCATACCTGCACGGTCTAGGCACTGTACGGTGTATACCAGGCATGGTCTAAGTAAATTTTTTGCACAACTGTAGGGTCTTAGGTATGTTATTTTTTAGCGTACGTATACCTGCACTGTTTATTTATTTATTTATTTATTTTTTACGGGATTAGCCCACCAGAGCACAGGTCACTGACACACATCAGGGCTTGGGTCAAAAATTTAATAATAATAATAATAATAATAATAACAATAATAATAATAATAATAATAATAATAATAATAATATTCATATTAATAATAATAATAATAATAATAATATTCATAATAATAATAATAATAATAATAATAATAATACATAATAATAAAAATGAATAAAAAATTACATTAAATAAAAATATATAATAATAATAATAATAATAATAATAATAATAATAATAATAAATAAGTAAATTTTTTTTAAAAAGATCAATAGTGTGAAACAATATATGTATGTTGTGTTGTCAAAGAAGAAAACACTTATTGAGACCCTGAGGCAGAAAGTCATATTAGCAACCTTGGGCTTGGTCACAATTTCACAATTTACGTGATGCCATATGGCAGCAGGGTCTACCATGAGACAACACATTATGTTTCCAATACTGTATCTTCCCAGGCGGTAGGACCTCCCTGTTTGATAGCTGACTACTACCTACTACCTGTACAGTACTACATGTTGAACTGTATACCTGTATTATTTATATACGTGCATGCCAAATCACTGTAAACTTGTATGGCAATTTTACTGAATATTTATTTAATCTATCTATCGAAATGAAAATAGAAAGGATGAGATGGGTGAAAGTACGAGAGAGATTGGAAGGGAAGGACAGGATTTAACCCTGCTGAGGAAAAGGGAAAGGTGTAGGTCACACGTATCAACCCCTGGTGCCTATAAGGATGATGGAAGTAAGGGAGACAGTGACAGGAGAGACCACTGAGAATGAGACATAAACATAAGAGAGAGAAACAAAGAAGAAAAATGTGAAGGAAATAGAGAAACAGAAAGAAGAGAAAGAATAAGACATGGGTGAGAAACAAAGTGTGAAGAGAATAAATAGCCTAAGTCAACCACGGCTCTCAGGTGTTATCATGTTCCCAGCTATAAATTGAAAACAAGCAAGTACTGTAATATGTTAAGAACGAAACGATTTACTTATGATGACACAAATTAGGCAGTATGCTTGTTCTAGTAATGTATTCGTGACCATGACTCGCTGCCAACTTATTTTCATTGCTCATTAAAACAGTTGGGGAATTATTACTGTCAATTCACCGAAGCTATAGAGGCCATCGCTGATATTGCTCTTACCTTGTGTATACAGTATAGTGGAACTCCCAGTCACTGATGGTTTAATTGTATTCTCTAGGAACACTTAAATTATATCACATACCTTACATTAACTAGCTATTAGCAGGTATACCCTGCTGCCATATGGCATCACGAAAATTGTGACCAAGTCCCAGGTTGCTGATCTGTCTTTCTGCCACATTTATACACAATTGCAAGGTCTCAGTTGTCTCTCTTACTATTGATAACACAACTAATAAAACCTTCCTCACTCTTGATCTGCTCTATTCATTCTATTTTATTCTCTTATGATGTCATTTGATATTAATATTGAAGCGAGGCCTTCTCGGATGGGTCCCACAGGTCGGGAAGGTTGTGGACCCCAGAACCGAGCTGATCATCATCAAACTACTGGGGCCTTAACTGACGCCACTGCGGTTGCTGGAGGATCGGCATTTTTCCAACATTCGCGGCCTGAGATACAATTTTCCTTCTGTGGAGCACCATCTATTAACCTCTTCCCCCGACCTCTTACTACTCTTTGAACTTCAACTTTTTTTTATTTAACTTTTATCCTCTTTACCACTGATTGGCTCATTAGCCGCTTGGGTGATCGATCAATTCTGTTACTTTTCTCTTTCTTTTATCCTCTTCACCAAATGATCGGCTCGTTAACCGCTTGGGCGATCGGTCACGTCTCTGTTAGGCACTGTTGGCAAGTACTGGGCATGCACCTGCTCCTGAATGTATCTGAAACCCGTTATAGTACAGTACTTCCTTCTTTCCTCACACAGCCAAACTGTGGAATGCTCTGCCTTCTTCTGCCTTCATTCAATCTGTCTCACTTTAAAAGGCTGGTTTTCCGGCAACTTCACGGTTTAGATCAATATAACCTTTTGCTTTTCTATCTTTAATTTCTCTATTCGCCCCCTGGGCCCAGATGTGGGTTTTTGACCTGTGTCCGGACGGGCCAATCCCGATTAAAAAATAAAAATAAAAGAAAATCATTTGATCACTCTTTCCTTTAATACCACAAAAGACTGAATGAGGAACAGGGATGTACGTGCATGGGGAAATATCCAAAGGAGGGCCACCAGACTGGTGCCTGCACTCTGGCACCTCAGCTACCCAGAGAGATTAGAGCGCCTGCAATTGCCTAGCTTATACTACAGACGGGCAAGAGGGCCCTAATTGAGGTATATAAACATCTCAAAGGGCACTACTCTGTCGAGTGTCCATACCTGGAGCTGGCAGATGACTGCCCCACACAGAGTCACAGTTCAAGGTTGAAGAAGCTGCAAGTCCAGAAAACTGTGAGGGCAAACTTTTTCAGAGTGAGAATTGTGAACTCTTGGAACAAGCTGCCAGTGTGTTGAGACAGAACCGAGTGTGAGCTGTTTCAAGACCGGACTGACCAACACTGGAGCGGGTTCAGGAGCCAGTGCATGCCCAGTACTTGCCAACAGTGCGTAAAAGAGCGTGACCGGCTGCCCAGGCGGCAATTGAGCCAATAAGTGGCGAAGAGGATAAAAGTAAAAAGTAAAAGTGCAGTACAGTACTTATATATCTTTCAAAGTAAAAATTTTGGATGACCTGAAGACTAGCCCCAGATTATTTCACCGGAGATTATCTAACCTAATCTAACCTACTCTGATCATATCTAACTTGACCTAGCTTAACATATCCTAACCTCCCTTCCAAGGTAACATTAGGGTGTTTATCATTAGGTGAAATAAGCTGGGTGCCTATAAGCCAGGTTTGATTGGCATGGATTATTTGTGAACACTTGTACCGGGTACTTCTGTAATTAAAATTAGCTGTATGTTCCTAAATAAAAGAACTGCATCATGTCCTTCCCATTTAATTTTCATAAGAAAAAATGACATAAGGCTGTCTTTCACATACATTTATGATACAAAATGTCACACTCAGCTTATATAGAAATGTTATAAAAGAATGTTTTGGTGTTTGAGCAAGTATATTAACATGCAGGAGTAAAGAAAAAAAAACCTGACATAGAATTCCAAATATATTAGCCCTAAATATGTACTGTATAATACTACCCTTTACACATTTTGCTACTCAATCTAAAAGTTGAAGAAAAAAAAAGTTGAATGCCATTAAACTTTTTACAATCACAGATCACATGCTTTGGTTCCTCTTTATTTTAGTTGCAATAGTATATGACATTTGATGCTAAATTCTTTGAAGGTAGAGGTGAATGCTAAAATTTAAAAAAGTGAAATACACTGGTTAGGCAACAGCAAAACTGTTGGTGTTGATTATTCATGAGTACAGGTAGTTCTGCTATAACGCGATAATTGTGTTCTTGTAAAATATCGTGTTATAGAAAATCGCGTAATAGAAATAACAGGGCTTATGGAGAAAATGGGGTTAGGTGCAGATTACTCGAAATCGAAAAAATTTAGTAGTTAGCCTAACACAAAGGATAGCACAGTCTAAATAAATGTTACATTCATATCTAATAATGAAATCATACAGTAAATGTAACACTTTACTTGATGGGGGAGAAGGGTGATTTTGAGGTTGATAAAATCGAGCTTCTCTTCAAGTGTTATATCCTTTCTTTTACGATCATCACCGGGAATTCTATCACCAGAACGCTTCTTGTTGATATTCTTCTTTACTATATTCACAGTTAATATAGTGGGGTATGCTATAACCAACGGATCCTACTACGAATATTCCTATAACAAACGGTTTTACCAATAAAATTGAGAATGCTATAACGAACGAAACTCCTACAACGAACATTATTTATTTTTTTTATTTTTTTATTTTATTTTTCTAATTTATTGTTTTTTTATTACAAATATTAATGATATTCTTTATTTCAGGGGTTTAGATGCATATTTATGCACTTTTTTACAATTTTTACAATTTTATATTATATTTTTCAGTGTTAAGTGGTTGTATTTGGGGGCCTGGAACGGATTAATCCTATAACGAACGAATGCTATAACGAACAAGGTTCTAGAACCAATTAGATTCGTTATAGCATACCCCACTGTACCACAAAATTGGAGAAATAGTAAGCAAAAATCGCGTTATAGCAAACAAGCGTTCGCGTTATACAAATATCGTTCCTAATTCATAAATCGCGTTTGAGCAAATTCGCGTTATCAAAACACGCGTTATAGCAGAACTCACTGTACTGAAATTGCATTACAAAAATGACCATACTGGACCTATTTTCTTTCAATATCTTTTTATCAAAGTAAGTGATTACAGTACATCTAGAAGAGGCAGTCCTTAACCTCTCTTTATGGTATCTACAGACATTACAAGCTACAGGGAAGACTCACATGTCTTTAGAATGTAGATTTTGAATATCCGTACTGCATGAATAGCATGGAGTACTGTAGTGTAGAATGAATCAATTAATTTGTCCAGAAAAACAAGGTCACTTGGTAATCTTAGTAATCTTAGATTCTTGACACGGTTACACAAGGTTGCTACAAAACATGGGAAAATCCCCCACAACCACCTCAATAGAGCCTGAAATCTGGAAAATAATAAATGAACATGCTAACTATTGAACTTGCTAGAGATATTGTAGATATAAAGTACAAAGTTTAGTTAAAATACACTACAGTTTGTTAAGGTAATTATGGTCACAACTCCGTGATGCATTAATACGTGGGTGAATGACATACATCCGTACATGACCTGGAATAACAGGGGACAAAAATTCTGTTAAAGAGGTTTGCATTAGTTTATGTACTTAACATAAACTTTTCTTTTATACTGTATGCTACTCATAAAGCAAAAACAGTCAAAGAAATTAGTCTTATACTGTACTGTATCATTAAACTGCCTTCACAGTCATACAATAGTATGAAGAGTGGTTTCCTTAGTGGCATGGGACTGCGGTTTAAAAAAAAAAAAATAATGAACTTTATAGCGCATCAAACAAGTATTGATCACTGTCTTCTGAGACTGCACAGACAATAAAGCTGACACAATAAGTCACTACTGCACTGCCAATATAATCTCCAAGGTATCTCAGAAAAGTGTATATAGTACTGTAGATACTGCCTTCCAGATTTTTGTGGATACCACATGAATGCTTGTACAGAACTGTATTACAACAGTGAAATTGTCTTCACTTGATGATGCGTGAGGTCTCCCACAAGTTAAGACAATGTTGCTCTTGTAATACCAGTACCAGCATTCACACAATCTCCTGAAAAATAAATAAAGTAACGAGTATACATTTTATATCAATACCCTGTATTTCCATCGAGCAAACTTAGTCTCTGCATTCAAGGCAAGGAGACATATTCAGAAGCTACCCTCAGCATCACCATATCCTTCTAATGCACAAGATATAATTTTGATCTCACTGTAAGGCAGGACTGGAGGGATAGTGCACAGAAAAGATTAGTCTGTGAAGTCAGGAATAAGTTATCTGTTCTCACTCAAACTATGCTCAAGGTATTTTACAACTGCTTGTACTACAAATAAAATAAAAAATATGGACCCAAGACATGGATTCAAAGAGGCAATTGTTGTTGCAAATACTATACAGGTACCAGCTCTTGCAGATGAAGTTCGTGAATTCATAGATGTTAAAAGCAATTTGATACTGATAGCTAGTATGCTTTTGCATGCAGCAATATCCTACTAGTTATGTCAAATTACTGTATAATGTTTGAGCCAATTTTCACTTCATTTAATCCAATAGTTTTTATGAGGTTGAAGATCAATTTTTTACAACTTATTTCTCAGGAAAGTGAATGGTTGGCTGCAGTCACATTTTTTCAAGATAATCTACAGCTTCCCCTCAACCAAATATGAATTGCTTCATCCTAATGATTGTATGTTGAAAATTTTACTGTTATTGGTTCTTTTTTTTATACAGTATACAGTACTGAACTGTAAAACAATTTCTTTTAGCAAATTTGAATTGCCATGTGTGCCAACTGTCACTCATACCAGTCCAGTGGTTCTAATAAAACCAAGATGTCAAACCAATTACAAATGGAGATGTACCAGAAGTAGGAAACTTAAAAGGAATAAAGAAATAATGGATAACAGCACAATTTAAAAATGAGTACATGTACTGTACTAATACCTGTACAGTAGTGTGAAAATAATTTATACGTGTAGATATCTGTCCTTTTGAGTAAATATAACCGATATATTTTTCCCCTGATAGTGTTTCTGAGGGCAACCAAGGCAAACAAATCTGCTATGTAAAATTTATTTAAATTGTTTTGATCTATAAGACATTTGCTGCATTTTTCTTCTTTTTTTTAATAAATACAACAACCAGAGAACATTAATTTGGGACAACATACCGTAGCCCATTAGCAATGGCCAAAGGCTAAACAGGACACAAAATTGGCCACAACCTAATCAAAACATTTAACATCCTTAGATTTACAGCAACTTGAATCAATATGCCAAAAAAAAATTGTGGTTTCTTTAAATCTGATGTAAAGTTTCTCTTTGTCAACACTAGTGTAATTTCTGAATTGAAATTAAGGCCTTTTTACTTATCATAATAAAAAAAATTATTTCTTGCTAATAAGCAAATACAGTAATCTTATTCTGAGTAACTTCTGTAGTCGACATCATTTCTAAAGAAATCGTCTATCTACTTATGCTACCTATAAAATGTCTGCCTCTTCTGGCATCACAGCAGGTGGAACATGCACAATATTCTCCAAATACTATATGTCTGTTGCTGACCATCCCATCCCCTACTGGCACTGAGACTCATCAGTAACACTAAGACATTAGCTGAAGATTCCTGCAAGTTTGCCTGATTATCACATAGGTGAGGCAGGGGACCCTTGCTTTTGTTAAGAAATAAAGCTCAAAAGAATGAGGGTTGGCTAAGAAACTATACCCTCTGATTCCTCACAAACTCTATGAGGAAAATACCTACAGTATTGACATACAAGACCTATGGGTACTGAATTGACCCTTTGCTTCTCCACAATCATGAGGCAATTGGAGGCAGCAAATACCCTGGACTCCTTTAAGGTTTCCTTAATATTACAATATGCACTCAGTTAACCCCAACTTCAGCTATGCAATACTTTTTACACTAATGAACATACACACAAAAGGTCAGTCCTCTATGGCTAGCAGTTACAAAGGAAAAATCCACAACAGGCATTCACAAACACTCAGCATAATGACTACATTTACCTTACTCTTAATACGGGGAGATAACAAGTGGAACAATTACTGGGATGATACTTATCTATTACCGAAAATTGATATAGAATACTTCATTCAGATACTGTTGTTTAAATCACTGGCCAGTGGTCAGTAAGCCTCAACATGGTTCATTTACCACAAGCATGACATGAATGTAACAAAGTGATGACACATGAGAATGAGGATGCATTCGAGTTCAACTTTACATTCACTTTGTAATTTTATCACAACAACCTCTTGCACCATATATTCTGAAAAGTATCTCAGAAGTTCTAAAATTTTGGTTTAATCACTACAGAACAATACTTAGCTCACATGCAAGGGTCACATATATACTATCTGAAACATCAAGAGTATGACATTAAAATCCTTACAATCTAATGATTACTATCTGAAAAATCTCATCTTGCACACCTCAGAAAGTTTAAGTCAATAATATTTTTAAAACCAAAGACTAATAACACCAACAGAACTCCATATATGAATATGAAATGTATTGCCATTTCATCACTGAATGGAACATACAATGTTTCCCATATATTCCTCAAAATACCCGACAAAATAATGTTACAATACCTGTACCACATATTGTCAAGTTTTACAAAAAATCAGTTAATAAAATTTTAAACTATTAGTTGTCTATCATTGGTAGAGAAACACTTTCAGTCACCTTCCAGAATGTGAGCTTTATTGAATCTTTCGTTGATAGTGAAGTATAAAAATGCTGATTTTTTTTCATAATCTATCTCTAAGCTAAGATGGCAGTGCTATAACGGCAGTGAGTAGAAAGTTCATTAAACCTAAAATTATCACATGAGATTTGAGATATCCTTTATGCTGAAGATTATTGTATCTATTAACATGTATTTATGGTGTAGTGGCACACAGCTGAAGGCAGGCTGTCACATTCATTAATATGACTGCATCTATTTGGATCACACTTTTGTACTCCATTTTATGGAAATTCAACAGTCTTAACTTTTATAATGCCACTTGTCTTCAAGTTTATTTAATATTAAACTATCAACAACTTACTAGCCTGCCATTAAGATGTCATGAGCACAAAATGATGCGATTAATTTTTACATGTTACTGATTATTCATTCAATTACTTATATGCATTAGAGATGACTACTCTGATCAAAGCAGGTCTTGTTTTAATGGATAACTAGTACAGTATTTACAGGAAGAAAAAATGCACTTGGGAGACAAGGAGGCTGATATTGTAACTTGGCATCGAGAAAATACTCCAGATGAATATACTGTACTTACAATGCTAAAGATGCCATGCACATTTTTTTACTGGCATTCATGTGCTACTCATATTTCAAACATCCATCCATGTATCAATGCAGTACAAAGTTCTAAAACATCTTCAATGATCAGGTGGAAAGCCTGGTGCAAGTCCAGCACAATATTATATGTGGTTAAGAGAAGTCCTGTTTTCTATCATTAGATAATAATATTGAGTCAGCCACAGTTTCTCACATTACTGACCTTACTTATGCAGACTCCATCAAGGCATCAACAACTGGATTGGAATGCTTCTTGTGTAGATTATAAGACTATCGCCAACAACTGCATCTCATGCAAAGTTAAATTTGAATTCAAAGTGCAAGTAATCTAGCAAGCATTATCAAATTTCAACAATGGTAATAGATATGCATTCTTCAACTAATTTTTTCAAAAATTATACACCAGTTTCCTTCATCATAATAGGATTTAACTATATTAACATTTAATCTAGTACAGAGAGCTTCCAGTTCTCCTTGCTTAAAAACATGGTAAAACCTATGGAAAACTGGATCTGGGCCAGTTTCTGTAGGGAGGCCTTTTCTATTTGACTTATTTTGGCCATTTTCTTTCACCGTATTGTCCAACATTGTTGTCTGTAGAGTATCTGCAGATGGTCCATTCGTGTGAAGTCTGTTATCTCTGCATCTATGAGAAGTTCCAAATTCCTTCTCATATTGTCCTCTCCTATCACAGTTTAATTCCTTCTTTTTTAGAGGCCTAAGTTTCCATGGTACAAGCATATCTTGTTGCATAAATTCTGTACGATTAATGTGTAATGGAAGAGAAGAAGCTCCCGATGTACCAACTTTTATACTGTCGTGATTTCTTTCATTGTACTGTCCTTCACAGACAACTTTCCTTCTCATATTTTGTTCATTTATTCTCAATTTCTCATCATCGTTCAATAATAATTCCTCATATTGAGTGTCATGTCTATTAACTTTGTTTTGCTTGAGATATGTTGACTTTTTCTTGCCCCTCTGCTGCTCCATGGCCCATACATATATAAGACCGTGTCCACCAATGCTGAGTACCCTCACTATCTCTGCTATTGCACCAAGACGGCGTTCCTGAAAAACAGAAACAAAATCTAATTTATCCAGTGTATGAGATTACAATAGCATGTTTCATAAAATGCAGTAACTTAGCCTCACCAAATCTGACATGCAATCTACCAATAGCCATAAATATCTAGTGTCTATGCAAAATTTTATTTACTTTCTCATTACATCTCATATGGTCACTCTATATCTACCAAATGTCTCTAATTTACAGAGAACGGACTGAGAAAGATAACTCATTCATTGGATACTCTTTATTCTAAGTTCCCCTAAAGTTGAGATAATTGTACAGAGATAGAGTCCCTGCAACCTAGACTTTTATCCCTTTTTTTACAATATGAAGGAATTTGGAGGATGTTTTACCATGGACTTTGTCTCCAATACATGTACAATTCACTTTATTTTTTTAATACAGGTACTGCTCAATGATGATACAATTTATGTATTTAGGAGATCTAGGAATTCACTTTTAAGTAGAAGAGCTGAAATGTGTATGCACTTCTTCATAAATAGAATTATTCAGTATAGTATTATAAACCTTTATCTGTGATAGGAAGGAGCCTTTATAGACAAAACATACCTCAGTTGCCAGATGATGGATGACAGCAATACACACAGCTGCATCAAACAACGAGTCTCTATATGGCAACTGTAAACAATTAGATGTTAAAACTTCAAAGCCTCGAGCGTAACAGATTTTCATCAACTCTGAACTGGTGTCACAACCAACCTGAAAATTTGAATAAAATAATAACTGTAGCATATCAGAAATCTTCATCATTCATTCATCTTCATCATCATTTTCCATGGTAAATTCACTAGCAAACATGATTATATTTGGTAAGACTAATGTTAACAAAGTAGCTACAATTGTATTTCCACAAAGTGATAGACACTGTAATTTATATTACCTGAAATACTTGTCTGTTATGACCCATGTATTTGCCATTTCCACATCCAACATCGAGCAACATTGACCCTCGTGGTAATGAACAAACAAACTGAAACAGTCAATATGTGCAATTAAGAGAATATAATCCTTATTTTCCTTCCCTAACACACAACATAATACAGCACTGGTGATCTTGGAACATCTACAGTTTATTTTCATTACCTCTATCTATCTATCTGATATATCTTTCTTTCACATCCTTTATTTAATTTTGCTAATGCCACACATTGCCAATATACTGTACTGTACTATTAAATAAATGTACAGAGCATCTAGACATAAGAGAAGACAAATGTGGCCACTCACCTCTAACACCTGTGGCCATGGTTTGTGTCTGGTAACACTGAAGTGACTAGCTATCTGATCATATACTTGAAGCACATGTTCTCTTTCCAACTTGGCTGCAATCCTGTCATCTAACATAGTAGGTGAAGCACACTTGTTTTTCTCATCTTGTGGTACACCTGAAATACAGGAAAAAATTCTTATGTGTTGTCTCAAGAAATATATCTGGCCATAAATATCATTCTATGTCAGTGCTTAAAGCCATGGCTAGACACATGATCCCCCTCAAAAAGATCCAAAGAACAGGTTACAGTACTTTATAGTAATCCCTGTACCATTTTTTAAGCAGTATAATTTTTTTACTCCACTTGATTTCATACATAGAATGGTCAGTCCTCAAGGCAAGTAATAAATATCTGGCAGAAAACTGGAAAAAGTGAGTAATTTTATGCTTTATGTAAAGTAAAGCAAAAGAAGGTTATATATATATATATATATATATATATATATATATATATATATATATATATATATATATATATATATATATATATATATATATATATATATATATATATATATATATATATATATATATATATATATATATATATATATATGGAGTTATATATATATATATATATATATATATATATATATATATATATATATGGAGTTCTGTTGGTGTTATTAGTCTTTGGTTTTAAAAATATTATTGACTTAAACTTTCTGAGGTGTGCAAGATGAGATTTTTCAGATAGTAATCATTAGATTGTAAGGATTTTAATGTCATACTCTTGATGTTTCAGATAGTATATATGTGACCCTTGCATGTGAGCTAAGTATTGTTCTGTAGTGATTAAACCAAAATTTTAGAACTTCTGAGATACTTTTCAGAATATATGGTGCAAGAGGTTGTTGTGATAAAATTACAAAGTGAATGTAAAGTTGAACTCGAATGCATCCTCATTCTCATGTGTCATCACTTTGTTACATTCATGTCATGCTTGTGGTAAATGAACCATGTTGAGGCTTACTGACCACTGGCCAGTGATTTAAACAACAGTATCTGAATGAAGTATTCTATATCAATTTTCGGTAATAGATAAGTATCATCCCAGTAATTGTTCCACTTGTTATCTCCCCGTATTAAGAGTAAGGTAAATGTAGTCATTATGCTGAGTGTTTGTGAATGCCTGTTGTTAGTAGTGCAACTTCCTTATTTTAATTACCTGTACAGTATACAGTATGTGAACTACTGTCAAATAATAAATCAAAGTGCAGGAACCAGTGTGCTTCATGTCCAAATAAGATCCAATTTCAATGGAAAATAAAGACTGAGCCTTAATTTCAATGTATAATGAGTTTGAGGCCCATTAGAACATAAGGCCCAGTAGACCCCAAATCATAATACTGTAGTCCCAAAATTTAATGACTCATATTATATCCACGTATGAAAGAATTTTAAAAATGTTTTGAAGTATCTATCTCTTGTGAACATAATAGGTTCCAGTTTTCCAGATTTTTGGTTAACTGAAGAATGAAGTAGTCTGGCTGGGTTACTGAAATCATCCCTGACTTCTTGGTCATTTATAAGTACTTTTTACTGTACAGTACTGTATAAAATATTGCAGAAATATTTGCATAAGAGCAACTCTAAACTTTTGACATTACTTTTAAGTTTACATTGAAATTTTTTGTTGTATGCCTTAAAGGAGCAACCAGGTGAAAAGATATATTTTCAGAAAGCTAAAGAGGCTGAACATCCTGTTACAAATTGTACACTACAGAATTGTATGCTGTACAGGTAGGAGTAATTCTGTGATAATCATACATTACAATTCATCAGGTACAGTATACTGTAAGTTTACTGAATAATGACTGGTAACAGTACAGTAAACTGGAATTTTATTGGAAAATATTGTAGTGTGTTTCATAGTCACACACCTTAGGAAATTAATAATATTCTCTTTTTTCATTCAGGTGAGAGAATCAGAACAGATCAACAATGATAGCAGAGAAATTACTCGGTAAGTTACATAAGAGTCCATTTAATATTCATATACAGTCAACCCTCGCTTTACGCGGTCCCACTTTACGCGTTTCCACGTTTACGCGGTACCCTGCCGAACACAGAATGCTCACTTTCCGCGGTGTGTGTACCCTTTTACGCGGAGAGCGGCGCGAGCAGGGTGCGCACAAGGTCGCCCAGTCATCAAAACATTACCGAGTTCTTCACCCGCCACCCACCACAGCCGGCCCAAGTCAGTGATAGTGATAATGATAGTGAGGATATGGACTTTGCGGGGTTTGACAAAGAGGCCCTGCAAGCCTCTGTGGTGGATAGTGATACAATTGATACAAGTGATACAGGTGAGGGCCAATAATCTGCCCTCTGCCTCGGAACCATCCCCCCATCCCCGTGTGCCCAGCCATCTTTTCTACTAATGTAAGTGTTAAAAAACCTAATATTATTGATATTTCTCTTAATTATTAATTGTGCGTGCATACCATCATAAAATTAAGAAGTTATTTTTACTACAACGTAGGTATTGTGTCTGAAAAAGTGGAGTTTGGGGGTCGGCCCGGTCTCTATTTCAATTAATCCCATATGTTATGTTGTTCACTTTACGCGGGCTGCCGTGGGTTCAACTGACCGCGTAAAGTGAGGGTTCACTGTACTGTATTGAATGTTAGGTGGTACACTTCAGCCAATTGTAAATTTGAAGAAATAGGTACCTGGTATATGATATAGATCAATCAAAATAAAAAGATTGCAATTCTCAATGTGTTCCAAGCCAGTACAAAGATCTCACTAGCTACTATGAGGTGTATGTCCAGGTCTGTCACATCCTTGGTGTTTTAATAATACTATAACCTTCTCCAGCTTTTTTCCCTGGCTACTGTTAAACTTAAGCCAACTGGCACAGGGCTAGAAATGGTGAACTGAACTTCATTCCCACTTTTTGGATAAGTTCACAGCCAGGAGACTCAGACATTCCCCTCTTCCCTTTGCCAGGGCCATCCCTAGAGGGGTGTGGGGTCCAGGGCAATTCAGTCACCGTGGGGCCCCAGAGCAATTCAGTCACCGTGGGGCCCCAGGACAATTCAGTCACTCTGGGGCCCCAGGGCAATTCAGTCACCGTGGGGTCCCAGGGTAATTCAATCACTGTGGGGCCTCCTTGCATTCTTAAAAAAATAAAAACTATGCATCACTTATAGCTATGAACTGCCTAACTGTGCTGGTCACTAATTCTGGTGGTGTCCTGTTGGGTGCATTTTTTCTTCATTTAAGCAAACCATACACTTCATTTGGGAGAAAATGATCCTGACTGATACAGTTCACTTATATAGAAATAAGTGGAAAATAAAAAAATCAGAAAATATTTCTTTCATGTCACTGCAAGGGCATCTAAATTACTGAAAGTGGAAAACATGATAATTCATTTTTGCTCATGATTCACAAACAAAAAACTTTCACAGTTGTTTGTTTTTACATCAAGCATTAGCAAGACACTCATGGACATCTTGATGACACTTAGGTAGTACTAGAAATACTCGTCTGCACTTTCTGTACAAAGTGTAGACGTTTTTTATGTCTTTTGGATCAAGCAGGTTCACAGTAAAATTCTGAAGTTCTTTTCTAATTATTTTTGAAGGCCTAGCATATATGTCCGAGTTTGCACATCTTTTCACTTGCACTCTTTAAGTTGTTGCAATTAATTTTTTTGCTCTCACTTGGATGGTTATGTTCATTCATAGCTTTCACAATTGCTTCTTGTACACCACCATGCTATATCACTGTTTTTCAACACTTTATCGACTCTGAAAGTAATTTTATAGAATATTAAACACTTCTTTTTTCTAATTTTGTTTCTAAATTTGACCTTCCATGTAAATAGTAACGTGGCTGACTCACTGCTACAGATGGAATGAGCGTCCTTGGTTATGTTTTACTATCATCACATGACAAAATAACATCCAAACTATGTATTCCTAATTTTCAGTAACCATTTGTAACCACCTATGCTGTTTTCAACCAAATGAAGGATGACCTTTCACTTAATTACCAGTTTCCTGTCACCCAAATGAAAGAGGTGGCAAACTGAATTTTTCGCCCAAATGAAAAATGCTGGTCCTAATTCTGGGTGGTAAGGAGGTTAGTTTAACCTTACCTTTTGATCTGACCTCAGTGACCTGTCAACAGGTAGTGTGGTCACTAGTCCTGGTGTTAGGCAAGGTAAGGATAACCATGACTGCGGGACCCCCACAAGCGCGGAGCCCAGGGTGGTCACACCAGTTGCCCTACCCTAGGGATGATCCTGCCCCAAGCTTTGGGAGTTGAAACAGAATCCAAAAATGGTGGATTGACTCTGAACTCAGGATGGTAGCCCTAGTAGCTGGTGGAATGTTTGTACTGATTAGGCAGACATATGCTCCATTGAACCATCTGGATCTTAAGAGTACCCTTTGCTTCCAATCTAGCATTTTTTAGGAGAGGGAAATACGACAAGGAGGAAAGGGTGTTGAACAGTGGTAAAGCAATAAAAACATACCTCTCGCGTACTGGGATCAATCCCAAACCCTGATTACTGTATATGGTAAGATGTAAGAAGGGTGTTATCCAGTGACACTACCAAACATCACAGGTTTCCTCTGAGTACTCCTGTTCCCTCCTGTGCTAACACTAGACATTACTGGTCATAACAAAGAACAAACCAACCACCCGAATGTCTAGTAAGCTCATAAGTGGTGAAAAGATAAATTTAAAAAATTAAATAAGCCCACAATTGCCAGTTGAAGGCAATGTTTACTGTCCTAGATCCCTGAGAATAGCTGGACAAGATAGTCAAACACTCCAGCATGTTTTCTCAACCACAGAGCTGACTAACTGAAAGCCAGTTGTACCTGAGTTCTTTTTCATGCTCTGAACAACCTATAACCAACAGGCACTGTGCCCCACCTTATACTTTTTAATACCTGAAAAATCATATGAACCTAAATTATTGGAAAGGACATAAAGGAATATTTTGAGACATAAGTATCACTTAATGAAAAGAAAAAGATATACAATGGCATGTTGTAAAATCTATTGTCAAATTAACTCCAATAAAATAAGATTTTATCAACTCAAATTTTTTTCAACACTATGGGACGTAATAATGATTCACAAGACAATCACATGTTTCTTGGAAGATATAAGTCTGGCTACTGCAGAACACTACGGTATTTCTTGCTTACTCTTTGAATTTTTGTTGTAAGAATCACAAACACTGGCATTTTGGCACCAGCATTCTCCTTGGCGAACCTTTCTGAATGTAAAAGAAACTCGTTCTTCACGTGGCAACAGCTGTAGCCCAGTGGTGCTATTCTTATTTGGCACAACATCTGTCATACGTGGACATATCCCATGTGACCACTCATATCTGCAGAGATAAAATGAAGGACTGATAAAAAAATCCAATACTACAACCAAAACTGAATCAGTTGATTTGTGTACTTTACCATTATGTATATGGATTGACATTCCAGGGTTTTCACAATTATTGACTTGTCAGAATGGAACTACATTCCAGAAACATTATTTATTTACAATTGAATGGAGACTTATTTTCAATAATTGAATCAGCCTAACCTCTAACCTCCTGTACATGGAGTAAAACATTTGTACAAGGGCTCATAAACAAAGAAAATATTCATAATAGAGAATAAGAAAGATGTGTAGAGATGCAACAATTTTAGCTAGAGTAACAAGAGCCTGTTTAAAACATATGGTTATGTTGCATGTATGATGGATGACAAAACAGTTGAGGCTGAAGGAAAAGTTAGACTGAGCATGAAAATAATAAGGTGTATTATTAATATACTGTATTGCAATGTAAGGGCTTTTATGAAGTACAGTACAGTAATCTTAATTGATTTGAAACCATGTTCAAACTTTGCTATTTTAATTGTGTACACTAGCAATTATGGCAGATGATAAGTTTAACTGACCTTGCTGGGCCAGTCATAACACAGAGTGACCTTGGAGGGAGGTAAACAACATAGTGGCTTGGTTTGTCCTTGGTTCCTTCATTACTATTACCAGATACATAGCGGAAGTCCATGTTAACCCCTCCACCTACACTCAGGGACAAAATCTCATCCATAAATGAGCTGTGGGTGTCCACATGGGATGGTATTCCTGAATAAAAACAAAGTCTTAATTAAAACAAAAAATAAGGAAAAGGCATTGTTCTACACCTTGCTCAGCCTGGGAAAAATCAGATTTCCATGTACTGTATTCAAAATTAATCTTAATGAAACTGAAATTAAATGATATCTGCAGGGAGCAGTTTTTCACTCTTACTTTACAGGGTAGAGTACTATAGCTTTATATGAAACACTAAATTTTAAAATATGGAGGTGACTCTGAAATCCTGTTTTATAAGTCATAGGTATCTGGAAGGTTTATTTATACAGTACAGTATGTAGCAAACTAAGCCTGTGTGCTGTGATGTTTCAAAACTGGTTCTAGAAACAAGGAGGAAGAGGTAATGATTTCTGGCTGGGTAATGAAAGAATTAGTGAAGCTCTGCATAATGGTAGGTTGAGATGGTTTGGTTATGTACAAAAAATTGATGACACCAATTGGGTCAAAAGGTGCATGAGCTTAAATGTGGAGAGGAGAATCGGGGACAAGCCAAGAATGACATTGGAGAGAGATTGTAAGAAATAACGTTAGAGTTAAGAACCTGTCAAGAGAGACTGCAGCATGGAGAGCTGCCATCAGAGATTTGCAGCTAGCCCATACAAGTGAGGAAAATGTACATAAAATATTGATAATGATGATGAACAGGTTGTACAGGTACAGTGCAAGGATTCACAAGAGTTACCAGTGAAATAGAAGTGAAAAAATAAAAAAGAAATCAATGACTAATTAGTATATATTATTCAATCATAAAAAAGATCAATGAATTCAGCTTACCCCAAAAAATTATTTCATTATAATTAAGCTCCCTCCACTGAAATGAAACCCAAACGGAAAAATAAAATAGAACTGAAAATGTGGAAGTCCAGAAGGTGCACCCATAATGGTGAGCAGCTAGTGGCAAAATTAGTCTTAAGAGAAAGGGGAAAAAAATATGCAGATTTATATGATTTTAAGTGTGACTACCTTAACCCAAGGCATGAGGGTAAATTATACAAAAATTTACACTAAAAGACACTCGAGCAATGCATAACTTGAAAAAAATATATAAATAAAAGAAATAGAACAAATACTTACCCTGGCCTGGGAGGTATCTATTGACAGTCAACTGGTCAGGTCCAACTGGCATATAACCTTGTTCAACAATTCTCTGAATGATGGGAGTCATGACTGGTGGGATCCTCTGAGCCAAAGGATGTTCCTTGTCAACAGAGTTACTGCTGTATTTAAACTCGTAGCCAAAATGGCGAACTTGACGGTGTTTCAGTACACTTCCTAAAAATGAGTTTGAGTTTTATTCTCAAGTTTCAAGAAAAAAAAAATATACTAACCTATCATAAACATAATATCAGATAGACATCAGGAAAACTAAACCAATACTTCAAGTTATGAGCACAAGAACTTTAAGTACTGTACTGAACTGAACAATAAACTGTATCTGTACTACAAATAAGGTACTGAATCCTGGTACAGCTTTTTATATCTGTAAAGTAAACAAATGGTTCATAAGATAACGCACTTTAATGTAATCCTGCACATGAAAAACTAGACTCACCTTCAGCTGAATCAAGAGGATTATCACCCCAGTCAATTAAGTGCATCAACTGTATCTCCTCTTTTGCTGATATAAAATCTTCCACCACCATCAATCCTGGTGGAAACTTGAATTGAATTGGTGATGGATCTGTTGGCACTGTGGAAACAAAGGCAGTAAATGAGCAATTATAAATACAAATCAATCTATCCTTAAATCTGTGTAATTTTTGTCATACAGTGGGGGTTCACATGGAGCAGAAAGTTCTATCTCTCATAATTTTCAACTCTTGATGGATTAGTGTAATTTCTAGCCTTGTTACTCACTTAGAGACCTAAATAGTGGCTATCATGGTGGATTCTTCATGTTCCTTGCCTTCCATTTTTGTGCAGAGGTGGGGATTAGGAAATCCTCAGCTGCCAGTTAAGGGTTAAAATTATAATTAGATTTTGTTTGGTTTATCGTTACAAGATGATGACAAGCAAGAAATGGGAATTACCTTTATCTACATAGGACATGTATACAGGAGAAGCAGAACCTCGTACGTCAAGCTGCCCGTGAGCTGCCATCAAAACAGTCTGGGCTTGGTCACACGATGAAAACGAGGCGAAGCTGTACTGTTTGCCGGGGATCAAGGTGAGAGCCTCAAGTCCACATCCAATTGATGTGATCAGTTCAACTAGTGAAGATTCATCAGCATTTGTGGTCAGCCCAGCATTAGCTATGAAAACATGCTGTAAACAGAGATAATATTATATGAAACAAAAGTAGAATGATAGCTATTAATTGGATCACCTGAAGATTAGACACCCCCGCTTATTTCACCAGAAGATTTACCACTCTAATGCTACATGGATTAAGTTAGGTTAGTATTAGGGTGGTTAATCCTCGGTTGAAATAAACTGGGGTGTCAAATCTTCAAGTGATCCAACAAATGTATACTGTAGCTATTACAGTTGCATACTGTACAGTACTGGCGTTAGTCCGTATTGTACAAACATAACTTAAAATTAATAAAATTAATTTGAGATGAAATCCTAATATTCTTGTCCTTAATATGTAAATCTGAGTGTACTGTACTTCTGTATGTATACAGTAATATGATACATTTGTATGAAGGACATAAAAATTCTCAATTCTATGTATAACTCCAAGTGGACTCAGTTTTCTCATACCTTGGTAGGAATGTGGGAGATATGTATATCGGGCATGTCACTCTGGAGAATACTGATGCATCTTTTTATCTTTCTCTGAGCTTTATAGATGTCTCTCTTGGTATTTTCCATTTTCTAAACACACCGAGACAACAAATGCCTAAATGAAAAAATAAATAAAATAAAAAATAAAGTTGTTTTTGTGTTTTATGACACCAATGTTCAAAAAGTTTTTCTTCCAAGCATTCTTCTGCTTTCCTCTTTATTCTAAATAGTCTTTGCCTTAACTTTACACTGTGGTGAGATAACTCATACCTGCTGCTCCTCCACCTTAATACCATACACAATCCTTCACTTTTCTGAGGAAACATGTCAAAATATGGTATTTTATTTTAAATAACTTTAAACTTATACAATTACAAATTAAATAAAAAAACATATATATATATATATGATCAAAATAATAAACATGAGTTATAGAATGTAACTGATCTCCGAAAATAAACGCGGTGGACAGAAGCAGCTCCTCTGGAGATGGAAAATGTAAAAAATCATAAAAGTGAAATTTCGTGAAATGTATTCTTCCTGCATTTTCTTGTCAGTTTCTTAAGGTAAGAAAGCTTTTATCTTCTATGAAGAAATTCCTTCAAGTTGGTACTAAGCCGCACTACTCTTGTCAAGCACTGTACTGTTTTACCACTATCTTCACCTGATGACCGCTTGATGCACGTGGTTAAGAAAGCATCACTGTCTGCCTGACTGAAGATATGCACAACAGGGAACCTGACTCAATTTCTTGAGATTTTGTAAAAGATAACAAAGAAAGATAAGGCTGTGATCGTAGTGCTAAGTAACTTTAAGTTATATATGATTAGTATTAATAAGTATTATACAAATAAGTCACCACCATGGAGATATAAGCTTTATTAATACCTAGTACCTTTAAAAGAAAAATACTTATATATTCACCACCATATATAACAGTTCCTGAACAATTGCTTTACTTATATCCTAATTCTAAAGCACAGTACAGGAGTAGTTAAAGTACTAAGACCACAAAGACAACATTAAATCGACATGAAATTTCCTCAACATGACATTTCTTTTGTCTACTGGACAATGGTGACCACTTGCTATTCACCAATAAATTAATTTGCAGTCACACACACCAAATTTTCTTGTGTAGAACTATTGAAACGATATATGAAATCAGTTGTAATGCATCAGCAATTTAATAACACTAAAAGCCTGGTATTTTTCAGATAAATTTAGAGTTGACGGAGTCCACCTTTGACACAGTCCCACCAGTCTCGTAAACAAACAACATGGCCTAACAGCTGATGGTTCAGGGATCAACTATATAAAGGAAAAGAATATTATCTCATATTGATCTTTTTTGGTTGTTGTTTTTATGTTACTATTTTTGTATACTAAGTTTTCACCTATTTATTTTAGTATTATCGATTTTTATTTTTTACACTAGATTCATCTTTCTTATTTTTATACGCATCCTTATTTTATCTGTGTATTCAATGTTTTTATTACAGAATTTACTTTTTTAAATCCTTTATTCACAATTATAAAATAATTTTGAAAAGAAATGATTTGGACATGAATGCGTGAAGTTTGACATGTAGCAGTGACCAGTGTTAGATAAATATCACGAACTCGATCACTAAGCCATTAATTTCTCTCTTAAGCAGGTGATCTGATCCAAATCTAAGTTTCCGTGACGATGTTGTGGGAGTTATGATTATGTTGCGATAAATTTACTCAGTTCAGAGCGACTGAAGGCTAAAGATGGTTTATACCTATCTGTTCGTGGCACTGTTTTAACACCGACAATTCGCTGGCAGGTTTGCATTGGCTGTTACTTTTAGCCCTGCTGCTTTAGTTTGTTCGAACACCCTTTTGCTTTCCTAAAGTGAAAGGCAGTGACTGTATATGGGTTAAAGGAGGTCAAATAATGTACAATGCCACATATAATAATATATGTTATGGAATCGCTGATGTCTTCCCGTAGCTTAAATATGTTGCACATTGAAATTACAAATGACACTGCTTGGAGTGTGATAGGAGGAGAAAGGAGCCTTGTGATTGGTTGAAAGTGGGCCGGATGTAGTGTACCGGCCAATCAGATCCCGTGCAGTAAATGTTTCCCAGTGTCCCAGTACATAAGTTAACCTATACCGAGACTCAAGCTCAAGGAAAATGCAATAGCGTTTGGAGTCCTGTTACTGTCTTTTTGTATTTGCTGTTTATTTATTTATTTTTTTTACAATGATTTTGATAAACTCTTCTGTCTCCATTTCTTTCTAATACAATATATAATGTACAGATATAATGTACAGATATACGTAGTAATAAATGGTAAGTTTCAAGTTATCTCCGTCTTGATACTATTGTAGTGGAATTCTCCCCTACAACTGCGTCGCACCCCACCACCAAGAGTATCCGCATTCCAATGTGCCGCCTCCCCTAGCAACCAAGCGAGAGCTGTCCCCAGATGTTACCGTATCTTAGTGTAGTGGAATTCTCCCCTACAAACGCTGTTTGTCGCTGCCTAGCCGACCCCACCAATTCCCCAGTGTATGCCTCGTGGTCTAGGTCAACCAGCGCCGCCATACACCACGGAGCGGGGGTCAACTGCTAAGCCACGCCTACCCCCGCTATTTAAGACCTGACCTCGTGGTGATCTCTCTCTTTCTACCTACACCAACCAGCCAGCAACACCTCCGCCTGCCTGGCGGCCCTCTCTCCCGCTGGCGAGCATGGCGACCCACAAGCTGTCCTTCTCTGAGCGTCCTCACCAACCAGCTCTCTCTACATCACGCTTGTAACCATGCTGCCTTCCCAGCACCAAGCTGCATTGTACATCCAATACAACATGTATATAGAGAGCACATTGTGAGTTTCCTTTCTCCATTCCATCCTGAGTGTGAACACCAAACATCTCATGACATACCTGATACGCCTTCTACAATGGTCACCCGAGTGACCATTGTAGGTATGAGATATTGTTATAAGAAATAAACTGTCAAAGCTAAGGTCCGCCAAGTCCGGAGCCTGACTGCAGTGCATCCTAGAGTGCAGAAAGAGAGTTGTGCAACAGCTTGCGGAGCCCTGAAGACTCCTGTTTGTAAATGCATGGCTGAACAAAAAAAAAAAAAAAAGGTCCCCAATGATTGGAAAATGGTTTATGCAGGTCCCTATCTTCAAGAAGGACGAGCGTCACTCCACGAACAACTATAGACCGGTGAGCCTGACCAGCATAGTATGCTTAAGTGCTTGAGAGCATTATAGAGATGCCACTATGGAACATCTACTACGAAAACACGGTTTTTATGCCGGGGTGCTCCTTAACACAATTACTCAAGGTATTGAATATTTGGACCCATATTCTGCAACAGGGTGGTATTATCGACAATATATACCTAGATTTTACCAAGGCTTTTTCGACAGCGTACCCTGAGCCGAAAATTAAACTGGAAGAATTACGGGATTCGGGGAAATGTCTTGGCAGTAGATAGAAGACTTTCTGCATGACCACCAAGTACTGTGTGATGATTAATGGCTGAAATCCTGATGTTTACCCGTCTGGGCAGGTACCACAGGCGGTGTATTGTTTGTTTGCTTCGCAAAGGACATGGCGGCTGTACAATCTTCCATAAATGTTTGCCGATGAGGCGAGTTATTTCAGGAAATTAAGAACCAAGCAGACTGTGAAAGAGCTGCAGAAGAGTTTTCTGTAGCCAGGCTCCAGAATAGTCGAAGATATGACTGCTAAGGAGGGGGTATCGCATATGTCCCAGCAGGACGAAGAAGCTACGTGGTGAGACAATGTGAAAAGAAGTACCTCGGCGTGTATGTTTACAATGGGCTAGAGGATTCTCGAGCCGTGAGAACAGAAAGGTAAATCAGGCAACAAAATTATTAGGTCTTATACGAAGGTCGTTCCAGATATCAAGACGTTCAGGTTGCTTCGTAACGATCTTCAGAGTGAAATGCTTCCCCATCTGGAGTACTGTCACCCCATCACGAAGATGCTAGGGACTGTCAGTTGATTGAAAATGTCCAAGGAGGCCACTAGACTGAGTGCCTGCACTAGGGGCAGGGGTGGAACGTCTGAACTTGCCTAGCTTATACAGTGTACTATAGACAGGTAAGGGAGACCCCAATTGAGGTGTATAAGCATATCGAAGGGCACTATTCGGTCTAGTTTCACTTATCCTGGAGCTGGCGGACGCTCTCGCCCCACATGGGGTCTAGCTCAGGGTTAAAACCCTGAAGCCCAGAAAACTGTGAGGGAGTAACATTTTTCCGGAGTGAGTTGGCGAACTCTTGCAACAATCTGCCAGAGAGTGTTGTGACAGGACAAACTAGCCAGGCTCTTTCAAGACCTGACTTGACCAACACTGGGAGCGAGCTCAAATTCATTCCAGGGAAGACCAGTGCATGCAGTACCAACAGTGCGTAACAAGACGTGACCGACCGCCCAAGCGGCTATCGAGCTGGTGGTGAAGAGTTAAAGTAAAAAAGTGAAAAGTTAATTTTGTACATAATTTGGAATATACTGGGTAATATATATAGTTTAGAGAATATACTGGGTAAATTTGGCATAGTTTGGAAGATACTGGGTAATTTGTATAGTTTTCTAAATAATATTACCCTTCAGCCGTACAATTCATACCATAAACAGTTTTGGCGTGGTGGTGTGTTGGTTCAGTCAGGACGGTACTCGATGTTGATGATGGAGGCCTCGGGTACGACTCCTTGACTGTCTCTTAAGGAGCCGTGAGCGATCCGAGCACAGGGCAAATTCTAAAGGTTCGTAAGTGAAATTGTTTTGCTCACAAGTATCTGTGTTATGGGTGGCGATGATGACCTATGGAAATATTTTCGTAGGAGTAGATGTATATTAAGTATTTATTGTTGCACTTTGTTTTATTTTTTAGATTAATGGGTAAAATTGAGGTTGCTGGGGGGGCAGGGAAGACAAGAGACTGGGGTGGATGAATCATTTTAACAGTTGTCGTCCCCGGAGATCACAGCATCTAGAGATTGATAAACACAGCCCAAAAACACATTTTAGAGTAAAGGGGTCGTGGGTGCAACCCTCAGACATGATGGTACTTTCATTATATTATGCTAGTGTCTGTTCGTCCGTCTGGTTTTCTGCAGAATTTACCTTAT